CAAATAGGATAGATAGATAGATAGATAGATAGTAGATTAGATAGAAGTAGATAGAATAATAGATAGATATAGATAGATAGATAGGATAGATAGTCTAGATAGACTAGATAGATAGATAGATAGATAGATAGATAGATAGATAGATAGATAGTATAGATAGATAGATAGATAGATAGATAGACAGATAAATGATAGAAGATGATAGATAGATAAGATAGATAGATAGATAGATAGATAGATAGAATAGATAGATAGATAGTAGATAGATAAGAAAGAGAGATTAGATAGATAGATAGATAGATAGATAGATAGATAGATAGATAGATTAGATGATAGATAGATAGATAGATAGATTAGATAGAAAGATAGATAGATGCTAGATAAATAGATAGATAGATGTAGATAGATAGATAGATAGATAGATAGATAGATAGATAGACAGAAAGAAGAGAGATAGATTAGGATAGATAGATAGATAGATAGATAGATAGATAGATAGATAATAGATAGATAGAATAGATAAGATAATAGATTATGTAGACAGAATATATAAATAGATACGATAAATCGATAGAATAGCGAAATAGATAGATAGATAGATAGATACAAGAAAGAAAGAAGATACTAGATAGATAGATAAGTAGAATAGATAGATAGCTAGATACGATAGATAGATAGATAGATAGATGATAGATAGATAGATAGATTAGAAGATAGATAGATAGAAAGAGAGAGATATATAGATAGAGATATATATAGATGAGAAATAATAGATTAGGAGAGAGAGAGAGATAGATAGAAGATAGATAGATAGTAAATAGATAGGTAGATAGAATAGATAGATAGATATTCACACGATATGATATATTCAGGGAGTAAGGATAATCAGAGATTCTATCTATACTATATTCACATATACTAGATTCTATCTATACCTATAATTTCTTATCCTGTATTATCAGGAGTGGATAAGAGAATTTCTAATTAGATTCTTTATAATAATTATCTATTACCACTCCTGATATTATATGGCGATCTTTTCTGTAATGCCGCATTAACATGGGTAAAGCTCCGCGCTGTGTTGTTACTTACTGAACGGATCGCGAGATCTTTATGGCGCGTTGTTCTGTGACGAGAATTTACTCAAGCAGCCGGCCAAAAACAGAAATAGGCGGCGTTGTCTGGGCGCGCCCTCTGCGGGCGGCTATTTGTATAAGAAATGAGGAGCAAATTGGCCGGCGCGATTACACAAGAGCCGGCTTTCATCCGGGGACGATGTGGTCGGCAGAAAGAATCGCCTGCTGAGTGCAGGTAATACCAAGGGAAGAAGAAGGAAAAGTGCCACGCGGCACCTGATGTCAGCATTTAATGTAGCCACGTGATATCACTGTCCTAACTCTTCTCTGTCCACCATTCCAGTCACTTGTATGCGTTCACGGACCACGTTTTAACGACGTTGGTAATGGGTTCCTGATACCTAGTCAGTGATCCGTACAGTCAGTATAGCCGTACAATTGTCATCAAATTAGATCCCGTTTTTTCGATATAAAAGTTATTCATTAACAATATAAATCACTTATTGATGTTATGTAAATCGCACGAGGGAGATCTTAATACATCTCTCTCATCCTCTCGTCGCTCTCTCTCTCTGCCTCTCTCTCTCTCTCTCTCCTCTATCTCTCTCTCTCCTCCTCTATATTATATATATATATATATTATATTCATATATATATATATATTACTAGTATATATATATATATACATAACGTTTATCTGACATATCCGCCTATCATAATTGTTAGGCCCCAATTTGCAACACGAAAATATGTGAGTATATAGTATACCGCAATCAGTATGACATCCCTCAGGCCCTCTGTCTGATGCCTTTCTAAATCAAATTGCAAATAATGATAAACACAATAAACCATGCTAAACTTGGTTAATGTCAGCCGGATAAAGCCGCTTACATATAAACTTGTCGTCTTTCTAGTGCAGTTTGTGTTCGGTACATGGCCAGTCGCGGAGAGCTACTCGATTACTCCAGGCGGATCCGTACCCGTATTCTGAGAAGGATTAGAAGTGGATACGAATCCGCTCAGAGCTTCAGATCCGCGAGTATCGGAGACGCGAGGAGTGGAGTACGGGTCATCGTGACGCTATTTGGCTACAAAGGTCTTCCCGCTTCAGGTCGTTGTCCTAATATTAAATTATCCGTTAAATAGTATTATTGGTTCGCTAACACCGGGCATTCTATATATATATATAATATAGTGTAAATTCGACACTAATAATCAGCATAAACGCTAAACAGCGAAGAACAAATTCCGTCTGTTCTTACCGGTCAATAAATCCTTCGTAATTGCCCGATTTACTTATCATTGACTGTTTACACACTACAATGTATTAGCGGTGGTAAGTGACTTCGGGTGAAATACACACACGCGCGCGCACGTACGCACATACACACGCACCCACGGCACGCACGCATTGCGCTCTTGTGTGTGGTAGCGGACATCCAGCGAGCTGTCAGTGTTATCTATCGAGACGAACGTAATCAAAGTCACGCAGAAATAGAGAGAGAGTTCTGATAAGTTGTTATGCTAACACTGGTAAAATATCCATTTACGCACTTTGCGTCCAATTGTGTGCGCGCCAATGCGTACATCGCGTCGCGTGCGTGTTTTGCATGTGCGTGTGTTGTGTGTGACTGTGTGCTTGTGTGGTGTGTGTGTGTTGCGTGGTGATGTGTATTGTGCTGTAGTATGTTGTGTGGTGTTGTGTGTGTGTGTGTGTGTGTGTGTGTGGTGTGTGTGTGTGCGTTGTGTGTGTGTGTGGTGTGTGTCGTGTGTTGTGTGTGTGTGACGCACACGTCACTCTTTACGTCACTCGTCACAACTCGACCGATTACATTCCTCGATCCAATTTCGTTTGTAAACTGTAGATCGTTTCGTTACCTCTGGAACCAATGCCTTGGCCTAAATCATTTTTTTGTTCTAGAGAAAGTACTACTTAAAGCATAATACTAGTAAAGTTCCTATATTATAGCATTAAGTTCTTGCTGTTCTGCGCTTGTTTTTTGAAAAGATTACTCCGTAAAATTAGGGGATATTAGAGCTCCTGAATGTTAACGGGGCAATGTGCTGACAGATCAGAAATATTTCTTATATTAACTCAAACAATACAGCCGAAGAAATGACGGAGAGTAACGGTCTTGTCCGAAGTTTGCCGAATTATTCCCGTATGCTAGCACGCCATTTTAAGTGCCCTGTGAAAACGATTGATTCATAACAATACATTGTCATCGTCAATCCATAATTAATCGTTTAAAATCGACTACATTACGTTAACGTCAGAAAATATTAAGGTAAATCATTACTTGAAATATTTTTTTGTTGTGGTGGCACGGCGAGAAAAAAATAAGTCAAGTAATGATCCGCGCGTTTAACGTAGTATGTTCTGTTTTAGATATCGGTCGAGCCCATACAGAAGGAACCATGTCGGATACGGCGGTGGCTACGAGGTTCCCAACTACAGACGTCGGTCCTATAGATCTTTCTTCTAATCCAACCAAAGATTCAAGTAGACGACCCGATACACGGCTGCTCCAGGACTCTTCACGGGTTACTCTCCTCTACATTTCATTACACATCTGTATATGTGTGCTAACTAGAGCGACTATAGATGAAATCAAGAGTAGATCAGGAGCTAGTATTAGTTTTACTATACCCTTGATGAAATCATTTTGGGAGAAACGCCAGCAAGCTGAGAATTTCTAGGTCATGCGTATGTTCCATTTGAATATATGTGAATATCTGTGTGTAGAACTATATGTAATTCGAATTAGTGTATAACAGGCAAATTGCATAGATTAACTGTAATGAAAATAGTATAGTGACAGTATATAATTAAGCCAAAACGTGATTGTTACACATTTAAAATAAAGCTATATATATGTTTGCATTATGATCGTTTGCTGTTTATATTTGATTCGGCGTATCTCATATTGTCTTTAATCATCTACATCATGACTATTGACTTTATATAAATTTATCTACTATTTAGTTTTAAATGAAATCATGGGATTATACGTTGGTGGGTATAAACAACGTTATACATAATAGCTGCGTCGAGATCTGTGATTTCTATTCACTGCCGTTAGATGGCGCCACCTCATATTCTACTCGTCTATCGCGTTCTCGTGCGCATGTTTGCGCGTCATAGTATCCAATTATCTCATCATCTATCCATTAGTATCTACTTATAGCAAATGGTAATGACAAAAAAGTCATGAGAAACCTATATGCACATGTAAAACGCTATCTTTGATTGCACCGCTTTAACACGTAACAGAAATGTTCAGTGCAGGAAAATTCGACGACATGACAATGTCTCCCATGTTGAAATTTGTCATGTCCATAAATACTAATCAAATGAATCATTAGGATTACAATAAATGGTAGGCAATTCTCGGAGAGTTTTGCTTTTCGTCACGCAATGACGTGATTTGGAAGCGAATCAGAGTCCTAACGAATTACAATGAATAAAATGCAATGAATGCAATGAATAGAATGCAATGAATAAAAATTACGACGATTCAACAGCCGCACATCACAATCTAACACAACGCAGAACATAATACAAAACAAAGTAAGTAATGTGCTTGTAGCCTAATATTACGCAACAGTGCATAAGAATACCTATCTAAGCGTTGTCCACAGAAGACAATAAACTCAGACGGTTTCGGGATAGCCCGGGGGTGACTGTTTCTGTTGAAGATATGTCCAAAAGCTGAAGTTCCTGTTCTGAAATCTAGTCCCGCCAGAAGGCAAAAAGTGCACGTCACGAGGTAAACAATCAGCCGATGTATATAAAGATGAGGAGTTGGCGGTTTGTTCTGGAGCAGCACCTCGGTCGTTGGTTGTGATTGGCGCCTTGCAACTGAGTGTAAGTTTGGCATTTTTTAAGTTATTTTCATTGTTGTTTACATCGTTTTCTAATCCTTCTCCGTCGATTTTACATGTGAGTGTTCTTGCAACTTTCTATTTATCTATCCATCCGTCTATCTATGTATTTATTTATTTACCTATCTGTTTATGTCTATCTGTCTATCTGTCTACCTATCTATCTATCTATCTATCTATCTATCTATCTATCTATTTATCTATCTATCTATCTATCTATCTATATCTATCTATCTATCTATCTATCTATCTATCTATCTATCTATCTATCTATCTATCTATCTATCTATCTATCTATCTATCTATCTATCTATCTATCTATCTATCTATCTATCTATCTATCTTTCTATCTATCTATCTATCTATCTATCTATCTATCTATCTATCTATCTATCTATCTATCTATCTATCTATCTATCTATCTTTCTATCTATCTATCTATCTATCTATCTATCTG